TTTTATTTATGGGTTAAATTAAATTACGGTAACAAACAGTCCCTGGTGACTTCGGACATTTTCTCAAAGTCAGAGAGTCATGAGGATGAGTGGCGAGGGGGACTCCTTCCTTTCTTGTCAGCCACCTCACCTGTTGATCTCTGATGCCAGAGACAGGGTCATTCAGGAGTATATGCCTGGCCTTGGCACTAGGAGGCCTTAAGGAGTGGTGACCGATCTGTTCACAGTTACACCAGCTGCAACTTAAGACTTCACATTAACTTGAGGACTAAAATTCCGAAGTTGAGAATTATAGGTAGCTACCTAGTTACCACCTGTTTTATTTCCAGCTACCAGTGGGACCTAGGGATGATGGGAGAATAAAATTATCAAAAAATTTTAAAAGTTAAAAATAAAGAATTATCAATGGTTGACTGTTAGAAGTAAGGGATTGAGAACAGCTTCCCCATTGCCAGCTCTGATGAGTTGGTTTGGACTCCTTGCCATGCTGTGTTGAGAACAGGCCTGAGGTGGAACTCAGGGTCCAGTATGAAGGAGTGGAGTGCTCCCTGGCAGGTGGTAGGGTCTGCTGTTGGTTCAGGAGTGGAGCTGAGCTGTGTAGAGCGGTTGGCTGCCTGCTGTGAGGCTTGTGAAAAGGGAAAGGGAAGTGAAAGGAAGGAGTTCAAAGTTAAAAGTATTTCAAAAACCAAGAATTAGACAAGATGATCTGAAGCAGGGCATTAGTAGCAAGAGAGATTTATTTTTAAAAAAAGTTTAGGAGAAATAGGAAATAAAAAACCCTTCACAGAGGAGAGCGAGATGGGCATCTCCACAGAGCATGCAGCAGCCATTACCCACATGGCCAGGACAACCCGGGGTGGAGGGAGGGAGAGAGCGAAGGTGAGACTCCTCAGGTGATTCAACTTCTGACTTCATTTTACTGAAAATCAAAAGATGATGTCACCTGGTCAGGGTGAAGTACAAGTGCACCCTCCAGCTCCCAACACTGGACCAGAAAATTATTCTGCTAGAGGCCTCCTCCCCAACCCTGAATCCTCCAGCCTGGTCCTAGGCCCCATGACCTATAGCTCCCAGTGATTTCTAGAGGCTGGATGCAGGAGGCAGCATCTTGCCAGGCAGGCCAGACAGCAACTGCTTTGTGCGAAGATGAACATGAGAAAGCATGGAGAAGAGGCCAGAGGAAAAGGAAGCCTACCATGCTGAGTGTGTGTGGGTGTGCATGCGTGTGCACCGGCAAGCTGCTGCCCAATCTTTCCTCTAAATGCAGACCGTGCCTTCGGTAATCCTGTCTACCACTTGGCCTCCCTCATACATCAGCCAACCAGCAAAACACAGCCCCTATTCTGCTCAGGAATGTGCTTTCAGAAACTTAATCTACTGCTGCATCTGGGCCAGATCCCCCAATGGCATTAACCCAAAGACAGCACCCCTTTCACTTGCCCCCACCCGCCTGCCTGCCACCTCGTCGCTGCCTCCTGCAAGCTTTGCAGTTCCACTCCACCAACTCCCTCTTTTCCATGACACAGCCCCCCATGCCTGCTCTCTCAACTTTCAGCACTTCTTCTTTCTAGTCAGGCCCAAACATTTCGCCTTCTGATTCATGTCTAAATGACAAGCCAATAGTTCTTGGCTTTCAAATAAGCCCAGCTCGGCTTCTGCACAAGCCCCTTCTTCTCTCACTGTGCCTTCTTGGGTTGCAACCAAACGCTTCCCTTTGTCCTTTCTGCCAACCACAGATCCCCTCAAGCACCAGAGAAAGAAGCGGCCAGGAATATTCTTAAAATGAAGGCTAATAAATTGTCTCTCCTCACACAGATACACCTTGAAGCAGAAGAAGGGCTCCAAGATAAATCTTCCACTCTCCAATTCTCCCTCTCCCAAACAATAAAAGGTTCAGCCTGGCTCCTAATTAGGCCAAATGAATGGTTATAGTCTTGAGTCTCCACAGCCTTGTGCTGCCCATTTGCAGATAAAACCTCCCTGTTGGATGAGCAGTGTTGCTCTTTAAGGGCACACGCGTTGCTAAAAGGCACATCTCATTTGTAATAATCAACAACTGGAAGCGCCCTAATTGCCCAGCAACAGGAACAGGGTAGAATTCTGGTAGATGTTCTAGGACCAGTAGTAATTACGATCATAAGAACTGACGGGGGCTGGGAGGGTGGATTAACTAGGAAGGGGGATGAGGGGATGTAGGGGATGGTTACATGGATGGACATACATGAAAAATGTATCAGTTGTATCAGTTGTTCACTTAAGATTAGTACACTTTGTGTACTTTACTGTATGCATTTTATTTATTTGTTTTTTTGGAAACACGTCACATTTGTAAGAGGGTTGCTCACCCCAGCCTTGGCCTCTTGGGCTCAAGCAGTCCTCCCACCTCCGAGACAGCTAGCAATACAAGTGCACGCCACCATGCCTGGCTATTTCTTTTTTTTTTTTTTTAATTTTTGTTCCTAGGCTGGTCTCAAAATCCCGACCTCAAATGATCCTCCTGCTTCAGACTCCCAAAGCGCTAGGATTACAGGTGTAAGCCATATTGTAATAATTATCTCTGATCTCTATGTGCCAGGCCTCGTATGCATTTTATACTCAATAAAAAAGTAAACATGATCATATGGCCAATGGAGAATGCTTATCATACAACATCAAGAGAGAGAAAAGAACTTGTATATTTGTTGTATCATCACAATATAAAAACATGAGGAGGGACAAAGACTGGAAAGGCATACTCCAAAATGATAGTGGTGGTTATATGAAGATAGTAGGCTTACGAGAGATTATTTTCTATATATCCCAAACATTCTATAATGCAATTACAATGTGAAAATATGAAAGTGGAGGTGGGAAGGGTACAATGATAGGAAATGTAGTTCTGACCTCAGCCCTTCTTGACTTGATGAGATGACCTACCTCTGCACCATCTACCTTCCTCACCCAAGCCTCAGAGCAGCCCCCGCCCAACAAGCACAGCTGGAAGGGAAGGCCTCCTCCTTCCCTGAGCACTCACAGGCTGTTTCCCAGAGGCCGCGCACTCAGATTCCATGGGTGCTCCTTCTGCCACAAAGAGGAGTGGCTCCATTGTGAGGGGGGGCTCCGAGATGCAGCCCAGTGTCAGCTTGGCTCCTCAGGAAGACAGCTGAGGACACACTCTGCCCTTCCCTCTGAGTAAAGGGCAGGGCTGTTTGACTTTCCCAAGAAAAGAGGAATCCTGGTAGCCTCCATTCCACTGACCCATAGAGTGAAGCTCCTCCAGGGATCTGGGGACCAGAGGGCACATAGGGGCTTTCCTCCATTCTGTTACTGCTTCTCCATCCCTCCCTACCCTCCTCCCGGGACTCAACCTTCACACACTCCAGGGAACCCAGCTGCCTTGGATGGAGGGGCATTTCAAAAGTTTGCTGCCTTAGGTAAGCCCCATGATGCAGCACTGCCAACCTCCTGGAAGTACTCCATCCACAAGGGCGATGATGATGATGATGGCGACGTGGATGCCCAAAGCAGGGCTTTCAGGGATAAGGGGGTGCTGCTGAGTCATGAGGGAACAAGCCCTGGAAATCTTCTCAAAGTTTAAATCCAAATACCATTAAAGTCTCAACAAGTTTCCCTATTTTCTCCACCTCAGGCGCCAGGAAAGGGGCCAAATTGGAGGCAGTTCTTTAAGTTTCCTGGCCGCAGGCTCAGCATATAAGAATGGGTATCAGGGGTGCTCTCCAGCCTTCAGTGGTGTGTTGAATCCATCACGTCTCATGTGCCCATACATACAATGGGTAGAAAATCATAGTATATGTGTTGTGCCTGGAACACAGCACACCAAGTGGCAGTCACATGCAACAGTAGGACGTCTATTTACTCACTTCCATCTAGCCTCATACAGTGGGTCTTCGTAAGGTAGAATAAGTATAATGGCAACTAGAAACACCTATTTTGGTAAGGCTCCTCCTTACCAGCTATGACTTATGTCAAGTCACTTGGCCTTTACTTTGCTCTGTTGAATCTTTATGATACACACTCAAGTAATTTTGTAAAAACTACGCCTTTCACAAGCATAAAAGAAGTAAGAGCGGCCATGAGGACAATCCATCAGTGAGTGCATGGAAATGGAATTTACTGGAATTATTCAGTTGGGAGGGACCTTAGAAGCCACTTGGCCCTTGGTTTCCACATGTTGGTCTGAGGACCTATGTTCTTTGTCACATAATAGGAAAAAATAGCTGTCAGAGATAACACAATTTCTATATCACAAATAGAATGTCTACAGACATAATGATTTTAATAAACTGTCCTATACTGAGCGTAACAACATGAATAAAAGAATGGCAAAACCGGAAAAAGAAAAGGTAGTGTGAAATCTTCTCCTGGCATTTTCCTTGGTCAAAACTGTCACCTCATCTCTTCCTTGTTTCTTTTCTCTGTATCCCTTTATCCCTCTGCCACAGTTTCCTTTTCATTATGTTCTAGTATTTATATTCCAGGCTTTTGGACTATGCTTGCCCCTCACAGAGAGACAGAGGGCCAAGTCTGGGCTGGGTGGGCTCTGTCCACACTACACATGGCCCTGCCCATGTCTCTCCGTGTCCTGTCTCTCCCCTGCTCCGACTGTAACTGTGGTGAGAATGGAGGGAGGGGACTGGAAGGGGCATGGGCAGTTGGGACAGTGCACTTACAGCCACAGATGACCAAGCAGGAAGGCATGGCATGGCCCTGCTCTGGGGCCCAGGGAACAGTTCTGCCATGTCAAGAGCACTGACCAATTCCCCTCTCTGTAGACACTCACTCCAGATACAGCCTCTACTTGGAGTGAGGTTTTCCAAGGGCACAAGGGTCCCCCATGACTGGGCATTACTAGGCAGCTACCAATCTGATTTGACATTTCAGCAGTTAAGGACCATTTTATGCTGAGACTAACAAGAGGCAGCATGGATGGTGGGGGGTTCAGGGTGGGAAGAGACAAGGAGGGACTGCACCATGGCAGGGAGGCAAAGGAGCAGACTCACTGGCTAGTGTCACAGTGGCTGGCACGCTGGCCACAGCCCCCGCAGGCATCCGGGCCACACACTGGTACCGTCCCACAGTGTGGTTGTTAAGGGCAGTGATGACGAGGGTCCCGTGGGTGATAAGGACACCCAGAGCATCATCCGAGCCATTCAGCTCCTTCCCATTCAGGCGCCAGGTTACATTCATCCTTGGGGGCTCCACCACGCAGCCCAGGATCACAGTGCCTCCGGGCTTCTGGACGGTGGATGCAGGCTGGACGGTGACCTGAGGGACCTCGTCTGGAGGAAGAACAGGGATGCAGCAATGAACTGATGCCCCCAAGAAAACAACATCACGTTTTTAGAAGCATTGCACCTAGGAAGTCTTCCAGAAGTGGTCACCAGAGAAGTTGGTCTTTCTCCGACTCTACTGCTCTTGTCCATTTCCCAACCTGCCTTTGTTCCCAGAGAGTAGATGTGGAGTGAGAATGTATTGTAAAGGCAAGAGCTTGGGCTTTGCGTTTGGACAGACCGGAGTCTGATCCCAGTGCCACTACTTCTGAGCCATATGACTCTAGCCTTGTGAAGTGTCAGTTTCTTATCTGTAAAATGAAGCTAATATTGCTTGTCTCACAAGGTTGTCACAAGGTTTGCAAACGATATGTGTAAATTGCCTGCCATGACATTGTACAGTAAGTGCACAACAAAAAGCAGTTATTATTATTACTTCTCCTCCTCTTCCTCTGGTATAGCTTTGAAATGAATCAAATACCAAACTATAACCAATATGATGTTGCTGGGATTATGTCTCATCTTGTATTCTTGTGTCCCTGAAGGCCAGTGGGAATCAAGTGTTCTTTGAAATCCAGGTAAAGAAGGCCTTTTTAAAGAGTTATTGTAGAATGTGGAATGTTTCCATTTGACTTTAAGGGCAGGGAAGGGGAGGGAAAGCACTCACTCAAGTCAGCAAAGCAGCCTGCTGTGGCTAAGAGGAGGCAAGCCAGTGTGACCTCAGGCCTTGTTCCTCTCCACGCCGTCATTGTCCCACGCAGCATGGTGTATCACAAAGGTCTGAAGCCAACGTTCCATAAGCCGCCAGGGTCACACAAAGAGATACTGCCGTCCCCAGCAACACTCTGTTGTAAGAGAGAAAAGGAGAGCAATGGCCATGATGAGGATGCCTGGGGTGCACCTGTGGTGGCCATGGGGCCTGGCTTTGTCCCTTGTTCCCTGTTGGCAACATTCAAAGTAGAGACCTGGTCATGCTGCTGGAAGACCAAAGAACACTATCATGCCATTTCTCATCTAAGAGAAGCTTCTTATAAGTTGCCTCCTTGAGCTCTTTCTCTAGCTAGAAGGTGATTTTATTATAGTAAGAATGCTGGAGTTTTGCCCAGTGGATGGACAGCAACAAGGATGGGGGCAGAGGATACAGAGAGGCTGAGGCCTGCAGCCATATCCATGGCACAGGACAGTGACTATCTGGCACAGATGCTAGAACAGATGAGATTATTCTTACCGTTTGCTTGCAAAAGGCCAGCTGGTCACAGCCATGCGCCCTGCCATGTGGTTAGTGCCGACTATTGTGGAACAGCAGTGCCGTGTGTGTGATGCATACTGAATGCCCTTGCAGGGAATGCTACTAAGTGAATGAATCCTAGAGCCTCAGTGACTCATGAAATATTTCCTGGTCTGATTTTCCTCACCCCAGCTCTATGCCTATATCCCTGTAAACTCCCTTTTATTCCTGCAATCACCCTACTCTCCTCAGCTTGTCCGTAACATCTACTCCCACAGGTACAAACACAGCCCAAAGTCATAAGCCAGCCAAGATCCCTCACTTTCTCAGGGCACAGAGCCTTGTTTTCGCTTCACTCACTAGCTCCCACGTCTCTCTGCTCCTGGTGCTAGAAATTTTGAACTTTTCCGTCTCTACAAAATCTGCACTCTTGATTACCCAAGTTGTGTCTCCATCCAGAACAACATTGCTTTGAGGCTCAGACTACACTGCACCTCCAGCCATCTGACAACACACCACAGCTATCAGCCACCCTCTCTGCCTAGAACAGTAGCATCTCCTGTTCTAGAAGGCACAGTTTTTTAAATGTCTTTCTTAAGCTATGGTCCTTACAAGATTTATCAAAATCACATGGGGAAGTGTATATTCTAACACACACACACACACACACACACACACACACACACACACTCTCTCTCTCTCTCTCTCTCTCTCTCTCTCTCTTCTGTCACAGCCAAAACCAAGATTTTTGCTTCTGTGCTTTTCATTGATGGATTTATAGAACATTAACAAATAAGGATGGGTTATCAACAGCCTTATTAGGCAGGGAGGCATTGAAATGAGTTTGGATAATGTTGAAGGTGACATTCCAGTGATCTGCACAGTGGATCATTCACCTGTGGCAATATTAATAGTATATTTCTAGAAATGTGACATACATTTAAAACATTAACTCTTCTAGATCAATCTACCTAACCAGAGACTCTCTCAGAGATTTACAGTCACCATTTAAAACTCAGGAGAAGTAGTTAAGCTTCTCAACTGAGAGATGTGTTGTGCTGGCCAGTCCTGGAGTTCAGGCTGCCCACAGAGATTGCTGTAACAAACGGGAGACACCCAACATGCCTGACACAGGGGACTGTTGCTCTGTGTTGGGAAGTGCTTGGGATTAGCCTAAACCTTTCCCTTCCCCAAGACCTGTGGTCCTTTGGCTTTCTGCCTGGCTGCTGAGGGAGTGAAGAGGGCCATATCCACACTGCTCAGTGAGCACCCGTTCAAACCAGATGGAGGACCCCATCCCCTAGCATTCTGTGGATGCTCAGCATGTTTTCCAAGAGTTCTTTCCCAATGGTTCGTATTTCCTCCATTTTCCCATGACTTCGACATCAGAGGACTCACAAGACTTCAGGACTACTCTGGGATAGGACAAGGGGACATTTTCTAAAAGGGATTTGAAAGAACATTTTTAAACAAGTTTTTCAAAAGTTATTTCCTAGCAAGTTAAGATAATTTCCCGTTGGTGTAGAGAGAGAGCTTTTGCTCGTTTTCAAACGATCCAGTAAATCAAAGGGTCATATTATTGGCAAAGTAAAATTCATGAAAGCTGCAAAGGATGTGAGTACAAATGGGAGGGGCTGTGGTGGTGGAGAGCTGGGGGTGCCTGCCACTACTCCAGGAACTCGCTAAGCTCTTATACAACGTATTTCCTTTAACCTTCTCGTCAACCCTGTAAGGCGAGGACTATATCCCCATTTTACAGTGAGAAAATTGAGTTCCAGAAGTTAACTTGCCCAGCATCGCGTAACAGTAGGCCTGGATTGAAACCCAGTTTGGGCTGATTCCAAAACTCTGTTCTTTTAATCACAATAGTAGCCTTTTTCCCATTTTTTCCCATCAGGGCTCTGTACCCAGTGGGTGTTTAGCAAACAGAGTTGATGTAGAACAGTGGGGCATTTTAACAGTGATTTCTAGAGGGAAAATTTACATTGAAAAGTAAGCTTTTGGTTTCCTCTCAATTTTCCAAATACTTGCTTTACTTCTCTAATTTGTTTTTCCCCACTGAGATAAGGTATTTATATAGATCATTGCATGAGTTCCCAGTTATGGGATTTTAGGGAACTAGCTTGTTCAAGTCATGCCCCAATTTCCCCAGCCCCTTAAGGAAATTGAGAGCAAATGTTCCTTCCATGCCCCAAGGAGGGAAGGAAGGGAGGGAGGAAGAAAGGGTAGAAGGGAGGTACAGAGACAGAAAATGAACATGAAGTAATGAAAGGCAAAAGAGGACAAGCAGACAAAGAGGAATGGGAGGGTTGTTTCTTATCTGAGTACCCTGTGGCTACAAAGGTGTTTGGGTTGTAAAAGCAACAAAGATTTTACTGAGGAAATTCAGCCCAGACCCCCTCCTGCTTAACGAGGAGCAGCCAAACAATTCCTGTTACTTCTGCACCTCGGTAATTTATAAGGTTCAAAATGGGAACAGATCCTGTTGCTGCTGCCAGCCACCATCCTGCTTTCAAAAACAACAAGGAGAAAAGAATTGGGAGTGAGAGGGAGTGAGAAGGTGCAGGTATCCAGAGAGGGAGAATGGAGTTAACCCATTAATCCCCACAACAGAGTTGTAAGAAGTACCATTTTAAGGACCCCAAAACAGGATGCGTGGGGTCTCATTCATGTAAAAGCAGAACTATGACCAAAAAATATGGCTATGTTTGGGGAAGGGTGGGGGCTTGGTCACTGGAAGTATGATGTATTTTATTTAATATCTGGGGAAAGTGAGTTACTTTTTGAACCAAGTTACCCAGTGAGTTAGGTTTAGAAAGATAATTCTAGAAATTTCAGTTATCTGAGAACTTTATTTTAATGTTCAGGGGAAAAAGGCAAGTAAGGCTTAAGCTGGAGAACCTAATTGCACTATAACGTTGTCCCATTGTGAAATGAACAAAGTACAATTTCAAAGTTGGGTGAAGGCAACAGTAAGGCCTATTATTTTTCTTGGCAATGCAAAATATATCTAGATCTCTTCTTATTTTCCTCAGGCATTTTCTGAGAAAAAGGGGAGAAATCAAGAAAAAAAATATCAAAATCATTTGGTTCCTCATTGAGGTCTAGGTACTTGACAGTTTAAAGGGTTATTTGGACATACAAGAAAAGAAAGAAAATGGGTCTGAGACATTTAACTGCTGACATACATGTTCTCCACTGAAATAACCTCTTCCAAACAGATGTTTTTGAAACTTTCCAAAAACAACAACAACAAAACACACTCTGGGGTTAAGACCAATCCTGAGAAACTGTAGCCTCAGAGTATTTATTTTTTGAGAAAATTACAAACAACTGAGAGTCGATCATCATCAGGAGGAGGCCAGCTCCACTTCCTCCCAAGAGGGCTGGCTGACTAACTGGACCAAGAGTGAGACACCACCACAAAAAAGCCGCCGGCTCATCCCCCGGACACCCATGCCAAGGCAGCTGTCTCAGAAAGGGAAGCTTCTATGATCTAAAACACAAAACATGCCCTTTGGATGTCCTAAGACCGATAACAAAGGTGAGCTGAGTAGGAGAGAGTGTGATGTAGCAGATAGCACAAAGAGACTTTCTTAAAAACATTCTTCTAGTGGCAAGAATACGATCTGACAAAGTCTTTTGTTCCATTGGTTGAGAGAGACTAGCTACATGAAAAAGAAAAAAATCCTGCTCCAAGTTACTTTTTTTTTTTTTGCATGCTCCCAATTTTGTAGAGTAAGAATCACCTTTCCCAATTGTCTTAAAAGAAGGGAAGGCTTTGCTCCTAGAAGGTGATGCCAAGTGTCTGGGGTGCAAGTGTTGGCAGCCCCCTATCTCAAGAAAGAAGGTAGTACCCCTGCACAGAAGAGAGGCATTGAAGCAAATATTGGGGAAATAAATGAATTTAGTTTTCAGACGGCTGAATATGTGAGTTTAGATAGACTTAGGAGAAGGAATTCAGAAAGAAAGGTTTACTGAGGAGGCTGAGGTAGGAGTATCACTTGAGTCCAGGAGTTTGAGGTTGCAGTGAGCTATGACAGGCATTGTACTGCACTCCAGCCTGGGCAACACAGCAAGACTCTGTCTTTAAAAAAAAGAAAGCAAGCTTATCAAAACATCAGGTTGTATACCTTTAAATATATCCAAAAAACAAAGGTCATTTTTACTTAAAACGTTGTACTTGACACATAGACCTAATTAAAAAAATTTTTTTTTTTTTAAATTCGGAGGGACCTCAGAGAAAATAAAAAAGTATCCCAGAGTAACGCCTAATGTGTTTTGGGTGTTATGAATGACGTGTCAAGGCTGAATGAGTCTAAGTGATTTGTAGAAGGTCTCCCAGCTAATTCAGAAGGGAGACTTAGGGCTACAAGTCAGGTCTTCTCACTCCTAGTCCAGTGCTCCTTTTACTATCTTAACACTACCTCCTAGCAAATTGTTTCTGGAGCCACATTAACCAACTGGCTAGAAACGGTTTCAAAGCCAATTTTAGAATGTTTCTGAATTTACTTCCTTATACATAAGAATAATGTTACCTGGATCATTGTCTATAACAGTAACTTTCTGTGTGATCATTTTTATCCTTTCGTCATCTACATTCTAATCTATAAAAAT